ATGCTCTGTTCACACCAGACGCGAAAAGAGCGTCAAGCGCAAGTGATTTACATGTTAAGTCAATGCAAACGTGCAAATAGACATCCTGCTGCGCGATACGCGTGAATAGCATGATGCAAATGATGCAAATTGCGCAGTGCGAATGGTGCAATTAACACGCGTTTTGCGCGATTCGCTCGAGTTCAAAAATCTGAACTTAAGCGAACATTCATGCCGCGTTAACCAATCAGAAGCTTGCTCTTGTGGGGATGTGATTGTGTGACATAGGGCCTGTTGTTGGTGTTGCAGGGGAAATCCTCCAGCCAACACCAACAGCAGACCATCAAACTGGACTCGTCTCAGTCAGAAACACTGCTGAAAGCCTCCATCATCCAAGTTATGTTTCTGGAGGAGTTTATGAGCTCACAGAGCTGGATGCACCTCTGAAAGAATCTAGTGGACGCAGACACGGCCCTAAACGTATCGACGCTGTTTCTCAGGCTTCATAAAGCACATAAACACTGTAATTTTATTATTAATAAACATAATAGCCATTTAGCAAAGGCTAAGAGTGAAGCTTGAGTCACCGGGGAGTCAGAAACCCTGCCCATCAAGCAAATCCGTGTCCGTTCTGAAGTGAGTTTGATGCGCTAATAAAGCGGATTTGATGCGCGAATGAAGCGGGGTTTGACGTGCGAATGAAGCAAGTAAACTCAAATGTTCACGCTGCTATTTATGCAAGAAGAGCGCGATTTATCCATGCATTCCCATCTGGTGTGAACACAGCATGAGAGACCGGAAACAAGCTTGTGTGGCAAGTTTTGCAGTTCACTGCATTGCAAAGTTCAAGCTTGGTGAATTCTGATTTGCGAAATCGCATCGTGAGACCTATTAAAGGTCAAACATGACCTCTCTGGACTGACATTTAAAATATGGACCAATCACTTGCTTTTTAAATGTCTAACCATCTTGTTTAATCACGCCCCTTTTTGCAGCACCATAACAGAATTTTGCATGCTCAAACTGTGTGACTGCAGCATTTACACAGATTGCACACATTATACAACTACCACATTCACACTCGGTCTTGAATTTTTGTGCAATAAGTGTTTCCCTGGTTTATTTTTTAATGGATATTGATTAAACCTCTGTTTTTTTATTACTCTCTTTGGATTACCTTTTTTGTACTGTTTGCTCCTGTTGACCCTTGCCTGTCAGATCATCCCTTTTTAAATAAAGCTGCGTTTGTAAGTTCATGTATGTCATGTATTTTGAATGAATGTGCTGCCTGTCAAGGGTGTGAAGTAAAAAAAGAACAAGGCATTGAACTTTGTGGTTACTTATTGTCTGTTGTCTTATGATTGACTTTAATAACATAAAAAACATGACATTAAAAGAAGTGGGAAATTACAAAAATGGGGTTCTCACACTGTCCTGTAGGGGCAGTGTCCTGCAGATTTTAGCTCCAACTTGACGCAACAGACCTGCAAGGATGTTTCTAGAAAACCTATAGTAAGAGCGTATCTGATTGGGGTTGGAACCAAACTTTGCAGGACACCAGACCCCTAGGATCAAGTTTGAAAACCCCTGCACTACTACAAATTGTTTTTTTTTTTCTTCAAAGCAACTTGGCAGAGAATTGGAAGCGTGGCTTCAGATCTTTGAATTGTACCTCAGTGCTGGTGGCGTGGCAGAGAAATCAGAAAGCGCACAGTGTACTAATTCTTTTCATATTGGTGTAGAAGATATTAAAGTTGACAACACGGTCCAGTTTAATGCAGAAGTGAACAAGATGCACTAAAAAAGAAATTCAAGGAATATTGTGAGTCCAGAAAGGATTTTCCATGTCATGTTTTTCATGTGATCACAAGGGAGACATTTGATGCATATGTTACAGATAAACACAAAGTGAAAGACTGTCAATTTTCCAAATGGACCGTTTACTAATTAGGGACAGAATTATATGCAAGATAAAAGAATATCAATATTTGTGTAACACTCACACTGAAAAACGCTATAGACATCCACAAAGCTGACAAAATAAGTAATGTGCATGTACTGTACATAGCACATTGATTGTGCATGGTGTTGATTATGTATGGCATACATCCAAAGCATTTACAATCATGAGGGGCACAGAGTCGTTTCTCCCCTCCACCAGTATGTAGCATCCATCTGGATGATTTGACAACAGCCACAGGACAATGGTTCCAGTGCACTCACACCAGATATAGGTGGAGAACCAATTTGGTGCATTTGCATGATTGGGAGGCCATGATGGGTATGGAACAATGGAGGGAATTTGGCCACTCACTGACAGTATAGCGTCCCCTCCACTATACTGAGGCTCCCCTGTATGGCCTCACTAAGACCACTTCCAGATAACATCAAATCAAAAATGCTTGAAGTTGGCGTAAACAAAATAAGCACTCACTCACCATGCTTCAGCTTGGTTCTTGATTTATCAGGGGGGGTCACCACAGCGGAATGAACCACCAATTATTCTGGCATATGTTTTATGCGGCAGATGCAACAAAAAAAGCAGTGTTAGAAATGCAAAGAAAAGAGGTCAAGCTATGCAGAGTAAATGGTAAAGTATACAGCACAAAATGGAAAATCAGTGCAAGACATATTAAATGTTGACAATGAGATTATCAACAGTTACAAAAAGTGTCCAGCTTATGGACAAATGTGTAAAGCCTGCAATTAATGAAGCTTTGCAAAAATGTGCAACTATCAAAGCAAAAAAAAAAAAAAAATATATATATATATATATATATATATATATATATATATATATATATATATATATATATAGGTAATACATCAGGATAAACAAAGCAATGATTAACAAGATGACTTCTTTGAGGGGAGTTTGGTACATGTTGTCCGTACATGTCGTCCGATGATGTTGTCTCAATCTGACGTCCTGTCTGTTTTTTCTCTGTTTTGTACTGTCATTCTATGGGGTATTCTGTCATCTGATCTGTTGTCCTTGTTGTTGTCTATTCATCTGTACTGTCATCCTTACTGTTGTATATGCTGTCGTCCTAATGTTTGTTCTGTCACTCTTATTGTCGTCTATGCTGTTGTTTATACTGTCATCCTTACTATTGATATGATATAAGCAGCATATGGATGTAAAGTTGAAGTCCATATTACTCCTATGTAATTGTAATTATTTAAAAATATATTTCCCAACCCATTTTTAACAACAATACTAATATTATTGATTATATACTGATTTTATTAGTCAATCCAAAAGAAAAAGACTTTCATCAGGATTTTTTTCTTACTGTAAATACAGGAAAATTGTCCTTGAAAAAGATTTCTTGGAGACCAGGTTATGTCGAAATTGTGTCTCTGCTCAAAATGCTCCCTTGAAACCCGTAATGCCTCTAAAAAATATCGACGACAGTAAGGATGACAGTATAAACGACAGCAAAGACAACAGTAGGACGACAGTATAAACGACACAGAGCAGATGACAGAATACCCCGTAGAATTTGACTACAAAACAGAGAAAAACCGACAGGGCAACATATTAAGATCACATCAACAGACAACATGTACGTCAACAAAGCTGATTTTCCTGAACATGCAGGCAATGAGAGTTGACAAAAACGAATAGGAAGTACAAAGCAGAAAGCAGGCATGGGCATTTTGGCACAAATGGAACCCCATACAAACAGCTTAGGCTGGTTGAAGTCGTTTATTTTTTAACAGGGGTGCAACAAGTTTTCAGCAACACTCTTATAGCCGACACACAACCTTATTTATGATTGAAATGAGGTCTTATGTGTTTTTAACGTTGAAATATTGTTGATAAAATGTTTAATGTTGAAAGATTGAAAAATTTCAATTTGATTCAAGAAATTTCAAGCATTTGACCAGGCTTCAACGTTGTAATGCGGTTGAACAAAACGTCAGTTGTTGCTTTAAAGTTAAACCTGTAACAAAGTAAAAACTGCTTTTATTCTAGCTATAATAAAACAAACAAGACTTTCTCTAAAAAAAATATGATCAGTCATGCTGTGAATCAATTCACATCAATTGGGAAATATTTATTTACATAACTGTAAAATAAAATTTACAGTTTAACTGCACATTTGTAAATAAAACACTTAAAATAGTAAAATAGTATGGTAAGCAAATTGACAAAACGGTTGAAAATATTTTTTTGGTACATCAAAAAGTGTGGTTAAGATAACTATCCAACAAGCTGATCCAGCAAAAATAGTTCTTATAATGTCCCTAAAATACAATATTTCATTCATTCATTTTCTTGTCGGCTTAGTCCCTTTATTAATCAATTTAGTCAAATTAATATGAACCGCATGCCTTGGACTCTGGGGGAAACCTGAGCACCCAGAGGAAACCCAAGCGAAGGCAGGGAGAAGATGCAAACTCCACACAGAAACGCCAACTGAGCCGAGGCTCGAACCAGCGACCTTCTTACTGTGAGGCGACAACACTACCTACTGCGCCACTGCGTCGCCAAAATACAATATTTATACCTCATAATTAAATAGAAAATCAGGCGGAACAACTGCAAAAAGGTTGTTTTTCAAAAAAATAAATAAATAACCAAACCTTTTCAATAATCTGGCTACCGGCCTGATAGTGTAATGTTAAAAAAAGTTTATTAAAGAGATACTTTAATAAAGACTTCTGTTTATTTTAGCCATAGTGCAAATGAAACATGTATCACATATCAGTATTATGCCTATACACAGGCTGTATGTTGTCTGACAAATTGTTATGTTATCTAGTAAACTACCTAATAAATTGTATTTTTAACACCTACTCCCTCCCCAACCCTTAACCCAAGCGTCATAGTACTGTAAAAATATTAACTATTGTTATACAGTGTCATAAATAATGCTGCTTTATTACTGTGCATATCACATCTAGACTTTACCCTCTCTCACACATGACAGCAGGGAAAGGCACAGTCAATCAAAATGTGTTTTGTGGGCGGGAGGACTCAAGGAGGGAATGTGAACCCTGAACCCTTTCTGCTTGTCTAGGTTAACAGTGCAATTTTTTTAAAAGTGGATTAAGTTATTGGTGGGGACATTTCTATGGTCAGTGGATATTGGTGGGAACGCATCACCTCTGTCCACACCTGTCTAAATGTAAAAGTGAAAACAGAATCTTTTTGACGGTTCTCGGTGAGTGGCCTTTTTTAACATGTATATATATATATATATATATATATATATATATATATATAATTATTGTTATTAACTAAAATGATATAAGTGTATGTAGCCTAGTTATAGCCTAAAAAATTATGTTCACCCATGGGTAACAAAGACAAACAATATTATGCAGCCTATAATAATACAGGTCTTTTGCGGATTTTAAGGTGATTTCACTCGTCCATATTTGTTTTTCCACAGTATAGCTACAGCAACAAACTAAATAAATTGGTTCGGTTTGATTTAAAGTTGCGCTCAGATCCACACCAAAAGCTCAGGGATCGCTTTGGAATGGAGATCGTAATTTCTTTGTGAAAAATGTTATGTGTATAGCTGACTCTGTGGGAGAAAAGTCCTTTTAAAGGTGCATTTACACGTTGTTTACGTCTACAAACCAAACTGCCATTTTCCTTGGTTTAAAAACAAGTGGAAAGTGAACGGTTGTAAAGCTTTTCCTTTCACTGTACATGCAGTTTGTTTAGAAAAGTCTGTAACGTTATTTAAGACAGCTCTGCCAACTCACCCAAACTGCTGTAATGTCCACGACTTGGTTGATGTCGTGTAGCTGGGCAAGTATTTTTATAAATATTTATAAATATTACTTATTGTAACTTATTATATTTTTTTATTTCAAAAAAGAAAGTAAAAAGAAGCACTTACACTAGTAAAATGGAGGAGGGAAAAGAACACGAACAGCACTTCCTGATTGGAGAAAGCTGTATCTTCCCTTGGGGTACCCATTTTGTTTAAACTTAGGATAGAATAGGATACAAAGATACAATTAAAACGCAATTTTTTAATCCTCTAAAATCAAATCAAGTTTAAATGCCTTAAAGGACAACGCTATTTCAGCTGTTTAGAATCCTGTTTTTTGATTGGATTGATATGCCAGTGTAGCAGAGACCAGCTAGTAAGTGCTGTGCAGGTAAACCTCACTCCTCTGACCTCTGAAGGGGCTCTAGCGACAGACGCTAGAGGCCAGTCTTTTGCCTCCTTGGTAGAGCAACAAACTCCCTTGAGGAAGGTCGTCTTTTCAATACCAGCTCGGATCGGGTTGGGTGGCGTACAGTACGACCAGCGGGGTTACACTAGGATTACTATCAGGTTAAATCAATAAAAGTGAAAATAGAAACAAGCGTACATTTTGGGGTCATTTCACGTTTTTAGAAATGTCACACAGGACAAACGCTTGCACTTTTCCTATTGCAGTCACACCGACTGGCAGTGGCATAGGCATTTTATTTAAACAGAAGCACAGTATTCACTAATCATGGGACATAATCGTGAGGCATAGAAAACAAAAACTAGACATGGAAATACAAATTAAATTGAGAGCATAAACATTCAACCTTTTTCTATAAACAAAATGTTTAAAATTAAAGGAAATAGTGCCGTTTTTCATGCTTTTATTTTTATTTTTTTCTGACTCACAAACTCTTACTTAAAACACAGTGCCATCTAGTGGCTTCTAAGAGTAACAACATGATCACAATTCCATTAAAATTACACTCACCGGCCATTTTATTAGGTACACCTTACCAAATTGGACCCCATTTTGCCCTCAGAACCGCCTTAATCCTTCATGACATAGATTCAACAAGGTACTGGAAATATTCCTCTGAGATTTTGGTCCACATCAACATGAAAGCATCACGCAGTTGCTGCAGATTTGTTGGCTGCACATACATAATCCGAATCTCCCACTCCATCCCATCCCAAAGGTGCTATATTGCATTGAAATCTACAATGGCCGAGAGCTTTTTCCCTGAGCAATAGTCATGGCACAGCAGTGTCAGCACATTATTGGGTCCCCTTGAAACATTTGCTTTGTGTTCCAAAGTTTTTGCAAGTGAGAAAATGCAACACATTTTATTCATTTGTTTGCGTTGTGTGAAAATGCAGCACATTTTATTAATTTGTTTGCGTTGTGTGAAAATGCAGCACATTTTATGTGTATGCTTTGTGAGCATTTACAGCACATGTGCCGTCAAATGGATGAAGATTTTTTTTAATTTGCTGGTGTTTTTTTTTTTTTTTTTTTTGTAATTGCTGGTGTTTTCTTAAATTGCAGCACATTAAGCTCTCTCAACCACCATAGAAATCTGGTGACTGTGGAGGCCATTTGTGCTGTGAACTCCTTGTCATGTTCAAGAAACTAGTCAGAGATAATTTGTGTTTATGACATGGCAACAACCATGCCACATTCAAAGTTACTTAAATCACATTTCTGCCCCATTCTAATGCTCGGTTTGAACTGCAGCAGATCGTCTTGACCATGTATACAGGCCTAAATGCATTGAGTTGCTGCCATGTGATTGGCTGATAAAAAATTTGCATTAAGGACAGGTGTTGCCAATAAAGTGGCTGGTGAGTGAACATGTTCAACTATTGGTAACATAGGCTAGCTATTAATAAAAATGTAGCTTTTAATAATTACTGTACAGCACATTTAAGACATTAAAATCATCTGTTGTGATTTCCAGAGATATTTCACATATTCAATGTCTTGTGTGACCCTGTTTTAGACAGCAGCAAAAAGTTACTTTTTGAATGCCAAATAATTGTGTTAATGGAGCTGTGTTATTTGATCATATTTAGGTGGGGGGAAAAAGAGAAAAAATGGGACCACCACAATCAAAATATGAAAAAAAGCATCTGCAGCCAAGTGGTCAGGTACAGTTATACAAATTACAATAATTGGTCTATTCTGTTAAAAATGTAATGGTCCCCTTCTGCATGTCACCTTCTTGAGAATCAAGGAATTTTTGTATCCTTTGCAATAGATTGAGTAATAAGATCAGTTCAGTCCATCATTTACTGGCACAGATTGGTTTCATTGTTTTAGAACACAGTACAATTAAAATATAGAGCTTCCTTTTCGCATGTCATGTTTAGAAGACCATTAATGTGTATTAGTATTTGATTAACTACTTTTGTTTATATATATATATATATATATATATATATATATATATATATATATATATATATATATATATATATATATATATATATATATATATATATATATATATATAAACTATGTTTAATAGTGGTTTTAAAATATTAATAGATGGGTAACAAAAGAGATGGGAGTCAATCACAGACTGGTGATCGACGACATACAAAAGACCATGTTGATATTAAAACTGAATCACAAAGAAAACCAAAAAAAGGTGAGTAGACACATTTGAGTATAAGAACATTGTTTATTTAGAGCACACATACTGTAGAAATTTTGATTTACAATCCAGCTTTGATTTTATACTGGCTTTTTTTTTTTAGCAATGTCAACATGCAGCTATGATTCTGGGTAAGAAATAGTGTGATCTTTGTAGTTTAAATTCTCATTTGCTTTTGTTGAGTTAAAGGTGTGTATGGGATATTTGAAGAGAAAGACTCTGCAGAGTCAAACTCAAAACATGGAGTGTGATGGATACAGTGTAAAGCCTAGTAAACTACTGTTTACTTGCTCCTGTTGGTTTCATCAATCTTGCAACATGTGGGTGCATCAATTTTAAATTTGGACAGCTATTCTCAGTTCAACAAATAATAATTAAAAAAGAAGTTTAGCCTAACCCAAAAACGTAAGATAACAGGATTAAAAACATAATCCCTGGTCTCTCTCTTTCTCTCTCATCACGTCACCAGGTGACCACGCTATCCACGTTTCCTCTGGAGTTTAATGTAAATTCGGGTGTGTCATTTTTAATTTGTCAACTTTAACTGCAGTTTGGCACTTTCACTTTCATTCAGGAACATTTAATGCATGCGGACGTTTCTTCCATTGAGCATGGTAAGAATTTCCATTAAAACAACACTCTTCCAGCAGCCAATACAGTAGTTGTATCCAATATCTCATTTGTAACAGGGTGCATGCATGAAATGTTCCTGAATGAAAGTGAAAGTGCCAAACTGCAGTTAAAGTCAACAAATTAAACATTAAACGCCCGAAGTTACATCAAACTTCAGAGGAAACTTGGATAGCATGGTGACACAATGACTTTAATTAAATTATGTGCTATGGCAAGTAAAACGGGATCATGACAAAAGCATTGAAAAAGAAATTCATGTAAACACCTTAATCATATTATTGTCTTATTTAGATTAAGACAAATAATTAGATTTCTGAGAATGAGAGAGAGCGAGAGAGAGAAAGCAAGCAAGCGAGCGAGAGAGAAACACCACACAAGCACACTATACAACTACTCGTAACAATAATAATACATTTTGTTTAAAGATGCCTTTCTTGAATATGTCAGTATTAGATACACCACCTTCTACTGCAGATTTGACGTGTTTAGTTTCAGAGGAAGAAAAAATATACAAATAAAAAGAAATGTAAACTAAAGAAAACTAAATATAAAAGTAAACAACAAATACTAACTTAAAAAAGATTGATCTCTTTCCAAAACATTTACATACTGCACTTTTGATTTATTACTTTCTGAACAAGTAATTCCAAAACATATTTTAATTTTTTTTTTACTTTTATTACAAAAGATATGCTGTGTCAACAAATGAGCCACTATATGATGAGAGTAATCTTGATGAAAGACGTACACAAAGCAGTTCTTCCTGGGAACGCCCTAACCTAGGTGATAAAACAAACCATATTCACAGAAAGTAAATATAACTTAAGCAATTTATGTTCAGTTGCTTAAATAATTTGTATGTTTTGTTTATTACAGTATATCGACAGGATTTGGATATGTCTACACTCAGGTACAAATTAATGTGATGTTAAAATTATATTAAGTTATTAATAGCATTCTAATTTGCTTTATTTTGTTTAACTGGCTGTGTTTTCATATCATTGTTACCATAACAAGCTGTAATTTAACCACACACACAAAAAAAACACATAGTATATAATTTGATGCCCCTTTTTTTAAGACAAATTAAAATAAAATTTTTTATATAAAATTTGGATTTTCTTGAACAAAGATCGTCACAAAGACATTCAGGAAAAACACTTTCATACCTGGATGATCACAGTCAATTACAGAAAGGGGGAAACTCATCAAACTTAATGAAACATTTGAGGGCGCATGGAATCATGGCCCTTTAAAGAAAGAGGAATGAGCTCTCTTTGACAGCTTGCGACATCATCTGGCACTTTCACTGAGTACATTTACATGGACACCAATACTGCAATTTTATGATTAACATAATACTGATTAAAACTCTACCATGTGAGTAGTGATTTTTGATTACCTTGAAGGACCACTCAAGTCCTGAAATGCGGAGGTTTTTCTTTTCGTTCGCCATGCGGTATCAAATTCCATTAAAACTACACTCTTCCCGCAGTCCTTACTTCATATTTTCATCCAATAGTTGTCACGAGGCATAAATAATATGTTCCTGAATGAAAGTGAACTGCTGAACTGCAGTTAAAGTCTAAAAATGACTTAAAGATTAAAAATGAAACATCCAAAAGTGCATGAAACTCTGGAGGAAAAGCTGGATAGCCTGGTAATGCGACATTTTATACTGAAAACTTTCTCCTAAAAGCGTTTCCTTGGTCTTATCCATATTTCTTTGCACATTAAACACACAACAGGAAATAAAAAACTGCAACTGCATTAATTTTTTTAACGTGTTAAATATTTTAAATTAATCATGTGTGTTAACGCATCAATTTTGACAGCACAAGCTTGCGTTTCCGGTCTGACGCATTCGTGTGCATATGAATGCAAGTCTATGGGGAGAAAAGTCCAGTGTGACCTTAGCTTAAGTTTGTAAATCGATAGTTTGATTTTACAAAAGCAAAACAGTCTTTTTCGGAAGGGATCATATAGAAGTAGCTAAAGAGATGGGATTGAATGATAAAGGTTTTACCAAAGCAGTACCAATAGCAGCAGCACCACCACCATGGTTCTTTCCTTTAGGTTTAGTTGATTTGGATCTACTGAACAGTAGCCAGGATTATAGAAATATTGCTAATATGTCAGGGATAATAGAATATAGAATTATAACAAAATATAAAGAATATACTGAAGTGTACACAGTATACAGCCATGTCACCCTGCAGCCCAAGACTGGTTACTCACTGAAGCTAAGCAGGGCTGAGCCTGGTCAGTACCTGGATGGGAGACCACTAGGGAACACTAGGTTGCTGTTGGAAGTGGTGTTAGTGAGGCCAGCAGGGGGTGCTCAACCTGTGGTCTGTGTGAGTCCTAATGCCCCAGTAAAAGTGAAGGGGACACTACTGTCAGTGGGCGCCGTCTTTCGGATGAGACGTTAAACCGAGGTCCTGACTCTCTGTGGTCATTAAAAATCCCATGGCACTTCTCGTGAAAGAGCAGGGGTGTAACCCCGGTGTCCTGGCCAAAGTCCCTCTATTGGCCCTTACGATCATGGCCTCCCAATCATCCCCTTCCACCGAATTGGCTCTATCACTGTCTCTCCTCTCCACTAATAGCTGGTGTGTGGTGAGCGCACTGGCGCCGTTGTCCTGTGGCTGCCGTCGCACCATCCAAGTGGATGCTGCACACTGGTGGTGGTGTGGAGAGACCCCCCTCATGATTGTGAAGCGCTTTGGGTGTATGGCCATACACAATAAATGCGCTATATAAATACACACATTACATTTTACACTTACACCGATCGTTCTAAGAGTTTGGATACAGAAGGACCAGTTTTGGTGTTTTTGGAAAGATCTGAAAGAACTACAGATCACCTGGCAATATATACAGTAGAGCTGATGGCTATAATTGCTGCTCTGTACTGGACAAGTGGCATGAAGAAAATAATATATATTCAGATTCCAGTTCAGCATTGAGTTCAATTAAGTCGATGTCATCATGGAACAGGCAAGATTGTATATTGAAATTTTATTTAGACTTAAGAGAACAAATGTGATGATAGTGTTCATGTGGATTTCAGCACATATAGGAATTAAAGGGAACAAAGCTGCAGAGCTAGAGGCATGTAAGCTAGACAAAATTGATATTCATATTTAGTAAATCAGAAGCAAAAACTATAGTTAAGAATAACATATTAAAACAATGGCAATATAATTGGGATAGGTATATAACGGGTAGACATTACTATAGAACACAGGTTAAAGTAGGAAATTGAAGGATAGGTAAAGGAAATAATATAACAGAAGGCATAATAACACGACAGAGAATAGGACACACAGGTTTAAATAAAACATTTAATTTAATAGGGAAACATCTAACTGACTTATGTGATCATTGTCAAGAGGATTAGTCTGTCAAACAAGTGTTATGTCACTGTCAAACAACATTCTAGAAAGAGAAATATTAAAGAAAGAATTTATGAAGGATGAAAGATTTAAATCAGCATTAAAATTATACTTGGGAGGGGGTCAAAACAATTTAAGTTTATTAAATCATCTAAGAAGAACTGGCCCAATTATCAGAATGTAAAGGATGAAAGTTTTTTTTTTTGTTTGTTATTTGGTAAGTAGTTGACTCAGGCTCACATGCCAGTATTGTAGGTGGTGGTAATGCACGAAGAATAAGAACACACTTTGCTGAGACTTGTTTTTCCTGTGGTACATCATAAAGCCTTTTTTTCTTGTTTTTCCTGCTGTGTTTTGTTTTGTTTATTGTTTTGCCCCTGCCCTGACTTTTTGAATGTATTCTGACTATGCTTTTAGACTATCCTCATTCTACTGTTTATATCTTTTTAATTTTAGTTTGACTTATTTTTTTATAACAAAAGATATGCTGTGTCAGCAAATGAGCCACTATATGATGAGAGTAGTCTTGATGAGAGACGAACACAAAGCAGTTCTTCCAGGGAACGTCCTGACCTAGGTGATAAAACAAACCACATTCACAGAAAGCAAATATAACTTAAACAATTTCTGTTCAGTTACCTAAATAATTTGTATGTTTTGTTTATTACAGTATATCAACAGGATTTGGATATGTCTACACTCAGGTACAAATTAATGTGATGTTAAAAGTATTTTAAGTTATTAAAAGCATTCCAATTTGCTTTTTTTATCTGGTTGTGTTTAACAAGCTGTTATATAACCACAAAAAAGTACATAGTATATTTTGATGCCCCTTTTTAAAAATACAAATAAAAATAAAAATTAAAATATAAAATTTGGATTTTCTTGAACAAAGATTGTCACAAAGGTCTTCAGGAAAAACACTTCCATACCTGGATGATCACAGTCAATCACAGAAAACACGGCCAACCCAAGGTGAGCACACACCACACTCACTAATAAAAGTACCTCTCCATTTGTTGTCCAGCTGAATAATATGATGGCTACATGTGGAGCTGAATTTCATGATGTTTTATTTTCTTAGATTTGGAAAAACCATGGAGAAAATTTGATTGGGGGTAAGTTCATTACAATAAATACACTTTAGATATTTGTGTGTAATTTAATTTAGTTGAATTCCATTTACAGTATTTTCTGCCACAAACTTGGTATAGAGAGGGGTTATGGAAGTTACATTTTTACATATTTACATGGTGATATATCCACAAAACTAATGAAAGATTAGATAATATCTTTAATAGAGTAACTCAAGCCAAACACACACATTGCCCACCATAAGCATGCCAGAAGACCTTTTAAAGCCAGTCAGGCTTTTAAACTACACTTAGGCCCAATCCTAAATCTATGTTTGTACCCCTACCCATTCCCCTAGGCCCTTACAACCGAGTAGTTAAAGGGAAGGGCTTTGAAATTTGCCCCTAAGAATTGGGACACCACTAAAGCACCTGCACACGTCATCATATGTCATCGCCATCTCTTGCTTCATTAATATCATCACCACAATTAATGGCAGATATTATAATTGCGATTGTGCATAATTTTAAGTCCATATCGCCCATCCCAATGGGAAAATGTGGTTTAAAAGTATTTATTATTGAGCGTGAAAAGAAATTTGTCTTGTTTTTTGACAGACAGAAACAAGAGCTATTGAGACGCTTAGAACAATTTTCTCCAAGTAATCCAACAGTTACAAACATAAAGGTTCTGGTAGCTGGACAAGTTGGAGCTGGAAAATCCAGCTTTATTAACTCTGTGAATAGTGCCTTTCAAGGAGAGATTGCTCGTGATGCATTAGCTGATGCAACTACAGGTGGAAGTTTCACACGAAAGGTGGGTATTATTTAATTCCTGTATTACACTCTCTTTTTGTGAATTAAATGAATGTCATTTACACTATGAGAGGGGAAAGTGTAATCATATACGTTCATGTCCTATGTTTGTTGGGCGTATTAGAAAGTCACTCCTGGATTTTCCTGTTAATCTTGCCATAATGTTATTGTTAATTGTTAATGTTATATATATATATATATATATATATATATATATATATATATATATATATATATATAGTACTGCTTAAATATTGCAATGCACAAAACATTATGGGTGACAGACTTGAGTTCAAAAGAGGACAAATTAATGCATGTCTCGCTGGCATTTGTGATCAAGACAGAAAGTCTTTGTGATGTATCAAAAATCACAGTATCCAGATTAATGTCAGCATACCACCAAGTAGGCTTAAACACATCCAACAGGTGTAACTGTGGATGCAAGAGGAAGCTGCCTGGATGGTGCTAACCTGTATTGTGCATAAAAAAATATAAAACCACAGCTGCCCAACTTACTACAGAAATATATGTGTACCTTGGGCTGCTACAGCCAAACCTTTGGTCACTCGTGCCAATGACAAAATTGCTTTCACTGGTCTCAGCAGCAACTCTATGGCTGTGGACAATGTGAAACATGTATTGTTCTCTGATGAGTCCACATTCACCGTCTTTCAAACATCCTGGAGAATTACGGTTTGGAGAAGCCCCAAAAAGCACACCATGCAGACTGTTGCAGGTCTAGAATAAAGCATAGGGATGAATCAGCGAAAGTTTGGGTGCAATTTCATAGTATTATCTAGTTTAAAAAAAAAAAAAAACGTCAAAAATTGCCAGGGGTATGAATAATTTTCTTATACACAAGCAGTAGTCAACATTTGAAGTGGATTAAAGTTTTGCTAAATTGTTCGAATATAACAATGGGTGTTGATCAATCGTTGGTCAACTCTGATGAAAGGTCTGATCCATGTCAAATGCTGACTGTACAGTATATATGCTATGTCTTTACAGTTGGAATCATACCGCATAAGAAGTGCAGATGGAGATTTGCCTTTTGAAATCTGTGACGTCATGGGGTTAGAACCTGAAATACTGTCTGGGTGTCATCCAGCAGACATTATCAGCACCATATATGGCCATGTAAATGATGGATATAAGGTGAATCATTTTAAAAATAAATACAGTTTGTTTTGAAAGCAAACATTTCAATATGTTCAGTGTCTGAAATTCTACATTTCTCTCCTAGTATAAAGACAAGAACCCTCTCTTTCCTGAGGATGAACATTACAAAAGAAAACCATCAATGTCCGACAAGGCTTTCTGTCTGGTCTATGTCATAGATGCAAGTACTATCCAATTCACAGATGACAGACTTATTGAGAAGTTAAGAATTATTCGTAATAAAATCAGCGAAGAAGGTAAAACTTCAGATTTTTAAAATTACTTTGTTGACCAAAATATACAGATTACCAACTACTGCAGCTGTATGGTTTCGTAGTTAAATTATAATTTTTTCTGCTGTAAAAAAAATAAAATCACTGCAAATGTGTACACAGGATAATTGAAATGTGAAGTTTTACTAAGTGAAGACTTGGATTTTGGAGTTAATTAAACTGCACATTGTAGTGGAGCAGAAACGCTTAAATTGATTTTTTTTTTTTTTTTTTTTTTTTTTTTTTTACACAAACACAGACAAGTAAATATTAAATCATTTTGACATTTTGCAGGCATTCCTCAAGTGGTTGTCATGACCAAAGTGGATGAAGCTTGTCCGCTGGTCAGAGATGATTTGAGGAAAATCTACACGAGCAAGAAGATCAAAGAGAAGGTAGATGATTTACCGTCTGTTATCTGTGCATGTTTAAATATATATAATTGCTATTAATGTTTTTCATAATTTTATATATTTGCATTCTGATCCTGTGCAGATGGAGTTTTGCAGTGGAAGTGTGGGGGTGCCAATGAACAGTATCTTCCCAGTGAAGAACTACAGTGACGAAATTGACACAGATGATGATGTTGATGTTCTGATTTTAAAGGCATTTGATCAGATTGTCCGTTGGGCTAATTCAAGACTGAGGAGAGCCAAGTGAAAAAAAAAAAAGTATATGCTAAATGCAATACTAGGTACAACTGATCTATACTTTGGTATAACTAAATGAATTTGTGGCAATGCTATATATTATACTTTAAGTCTGCAAAATTGGAAGAACTGATTAAGTACTTAATGCACTTAAGTTGTCTGAAAATACCCAGGTGGAAAGTGTATTTGAGTGCACTAAAAATACATGTACTAAATAAAATCTAAATGAATGTACACTACAAATATACTAATCAAATACCCAGACTTTTACTTATTCCACTGATGTTAGTAGTGTAGTAGTTAAAACTGGAATTTTTCAATGTGTCTTAAGTACACCTAAAATAAAAAACTAATTACTATACCCAAAAAGTGCACTAAAATACATTTTCCATTACACTTACATTATGTTCTTAAAGCGCTCTATTTTCACGCAACGACTTTGTAGTTTGTATATTCAAAGTTAGTCTTTAGTATTTCTTAGATAAACTTAAGGTTGTCTGTATACTTAACTGTGCTATCCCAGATGAAAAATATGCAAATAAAAATATGTATCAAACAATGGAATTATTACAGCCTATTAGAGTAAATCAGAAATAAATAAAAAAAATCAACTGCATTACAATTGTTGATGTTAATTTTTTTTAATTAATTAATTTCTTGCATCTGATAAAAATGTAATTATTGCCTAATAAACTGTTAAATGTTTCAGTAGGTCATTACAAACCTTCATGCTTTTAATTACTTTTAAAGAATAGATTGTTGATAAATATTTTTTTTTTTGTAATTGAACAGTTCAGTTTAAGTTTATTTCTACAGCCATTTTAACAAACTGGACCAAACGTATGTTGAACAAATCCTGCAGGAGTAACCCTGCACACTCCCGTGATGCACTGGGGCAGTTTGGAGTTGATAACATATCTGTGTGAGGGTCGTCATAAAGACAGCTCTGCTATTAACAGTGTCTAATCATCAAAATAAAGAGAATACATCTTATAACAAATTTTCCCTGGAAGAGATTGAGGACTTCAGAAAATGAGGATTTTAAAATCAGACAGGACATAGGACCAACCTTTCGGGTAACAAAATTGCATTTACTATTTAAAAACATCACTGTGGATATTAGCCGGTTGGCCTATCGTTCAATGTTTGCATGTTTATCTTCTTTTAAACGCACAACTTAAGCAAGCTAGAAGATTGTTTAAGACAAGTATAAATATCTCCAATTTTATAAAGTACAACAACATAAAAGTGTGCTGGAAATCGTTCTCTTTGTTTTGGTTTCCAAGAATATTGACTGACTGGACTCAGCAGCTGAAGTAAGGTTCTGTTCCATTCCTATTATCCAGAGTGCAACTGGATAGCCTAAAATAATCACACATCAAGTGAGCAATAAACTGGCCATATGAGCATACAATGGATGCGTAAATTCAGTTTATCTAACTCGTTTCTCAATCTCATGTCAAAGAGACACTGATCATGACATCTGTGTGGAGCCCATGAGGATAGAGAAGCAGTTGTGGCTTATATACAGATGTATGTAGATGATCTGATATTCTTAAATTGTGTCAGATTTACCTAGCGTGTGAAACGTTTGGTGTCAAATTAATAAAGTGACTACAATTAAGCATATTATACATACATACAGAACACACACGCACGCAATAACGAAGTAGCTGTGTGTTTGAACTTAGCTTAAACCACGTAACAGTTAGGGTCAGCTCATAATGGAATGTTAATTTCACTTTCCATTTACTAGAAATGAGCAGAACAGGATACGGGAAGCATAGAAATACAGTGGGTACTGAATGTATTCAGACCCCCTTAAATTTTCACTCTGTTATATTGCAGCCATTTGCTAAAATCATTTAAGTTCATTTTTTCTTCATTAATGTACACACAGCACCCCATATTGACAGAAAAACATAAAATTTTTGACATTTATTTTAAAAAAGCTGAAATATCACGTTTCGAAATATTCAGATTCTGCTCAGTATTTGATAGAAGCACTCTTTGTTCTAAAACAGCCATGAGTCTTTTTGGGAAAGATGCAACAAGTTTTTCACACCTAGGGATCCTCCGCCATTCCTCCTTGCAGATACTCTCCAGTTCTGTCTGGTTAGATGGTAAACATTGGAGGACAGCCATCTTTAGGTCTCTCCAGAGATGCTCAATTGGGTTTAAGTCAGGGCTCTGGCTGGGCCATTCAGGAACAGTCACAGAGTTGTTGTGAAGCCACTTTGCAAAATTGTCAACAATTCTGTGTTTTTTTTTTTTTTTTGTTTTTTTTTGTCAATGTGGGGTGCTGTGTGTACATTCGTGAGGAAAAAATTAACTCAAATGGTTTTAGTAAATTGCTGCAATACAACAAAAAGTGAAAAATTTAAGGGGGTCTGAATACTTTCCATACCCGCTGTATTGCTGTTGTTCATTTTATTATTATGTATTTATTATTATGTATTTTTCTACATATTTTACAAAGAGGCATAATTTTCATTATAGTAAGGTATTCCAGCCTGATCTCACGAGAAAACGTAAGTATTTTACGTTTTGGCAGTTTAGTGGCTAATTCGTACAAATTCGTACGAGTTCAGTCGTAAGAAATTGTACGATTTTAAAAAGGAGGCGTGGCACCTAACCCCACCCCTAAACCCAACCGTCATTGGGGGATACGCAAATCGTACTAAAATGTACGAATTAGATCGTACGAATTTGTACGAATTAGCCACTAAATGAAAAAGTTATGAATTGCCGTGAGATTGTGTTGGGTATTTGAGACTTGATGCCTAGGACCTGACTTTTAATAAATACATTTACACGTTAAATAATGTTGTGTAATTGATTTGATCATTTATTTTGTCAGCAGGCACTTTCATAGAGTGAATGGGCATGAGTGTGCAGTTTAAAGTTTTAGTTTCAGTAGTATAACAGTGATTTCTTTCACTTCCCATTTACTAAAAATGAGTTTTATTATTCAACACCACTGACACCGACCACAGTTATTTATACTTGATAAACCACCAGTTAAATAACACAAGCTGAAAAAAGTGATGTGTAATTTCCTTTTTCATGTCTCTCTTCTATTAGTGTATATTAGTAAAGTTGGGCGGTACTTGTAGGACATTTAAATGAATTACAATTGCTTGGGTTTATATATATTTTATTAAAATATTGGTCATGTTGGGGTGACATGGTGGCACAGTAGGTATTGCTGTCACCTCACAGCAAGAAGTTTGCTGGTTTGAGCCCTGGCTAGGTCAATTGCCATTTCTGTGTGGAGTTTGTATGTTTTCTCCGGGTGCTCCGTTTTCCCCCACAATCCAAAGACACGTGCTATAGGTAAATTGGGTAAGCTAAATTGTCCATAGTGTAAGTGTGTATGACCAGGTCCTCCATATTAGGGGTTATGCATTGGGCTAACAACCCACCTCATAAAAACTAGATGTTACGAAACACCAACATGGTGCAGCTAAATATCCACTTTGATATAACTGGCCCTGCGAGTAAGTAAGTAATTATTGGTCATGTTTGCAATGACAAATAATGGCTCAATTTAAATAGCACAAGGTAAAATCTGATATTATCTTGTTTACCCTGGTTAAAAGACAATGGCATATAGCACTAAATTTTATATTAAGACCCATTAAAATATTCCATACTGGTGGTAGTGCCAACAAAGGCACATTGAAAATGTCCCCCTATATACATTTCTGGAGATCATGGATTATGTAGCCAGGGGTACGTATGGCTGCATTTTGTCTGTAAAACGAATGCTATGGCGCGGTATGATGCTGTTCCTTTTCGCGCTTACCAGCTGACGGCTTACCTCCATATGGACGGCTTTCTCACTGTTACTAGTTTGTCCAGTTAGCTTGCCATGTACCTGTAGGTTTGCAGACTTGAGACAAAGGGTTGACCACAATGATGGGGTTCGAGTCGGGTGAAGAACGGTTCCAGAAAGCGGCTAAGACAAAAACAGAAGCAAAAAATACAATAAACAAGTAAATAACAGGTTGAGAATGTGGTAAAATATGAAAACGTGGTAAAATCGGGCAAGAGTTTTTCTTTTTCTGGGTTGCTTTTTAAAACTGTCGGTTGGCTTTAGGGAAGCGGGTGGGCGGGTCAATCTGTGTATTTGAAAACACTATTGGTTGGGTTCAGGGAAGAAGGATGGTGGGTCAGTCAGTCAGTCAGTCAGTCGACAGCTGCCTCCGGTTGATTTGCGAAAAACAAAAACTGCTAATAAAAAAGTAACTCCTGGGATGTATTTGGTGCTCTCCAGAAATGTTTGTAGTGGTATGTTGTCAGAATGAACCTCGGCGCCGTACTGCTGGTTAACAGCAATATTCGTTTACAGACAATAAAAGCAAGTGAAACAGATTACAACCAGCCAACTACAAGTTTTGAGTATCCTCCCTATGTGAAGGCCTACATGCAAAGCATAATGGGTCTTTCTGTGTTCTATGAAAAAGCTCTATAACAGAAAAAATACAATAGTGGTGCCATATTGTAGTGAGTTGGGTTGAAAACAGGTGAGGCAGCTTTATTTTGGGATGGTCGTACAGGCCAGGTAAAACATGTACAAACTGGAGCATGAAGATAATTCAATGAGCATAGTCAAAAACAGGCAAATGGTCATGACAGGTGGCAAAGCAACATGAACTGTAAACAAGGCAAGGATAAGGCTTTGTAATGTTTGTAGGGACAAGACTCAGCAAAGTGTGTGTGTGTGTGTGTGTGTGTGTGTG